AACATTATGAGTATATGGGCTTTATAAAACACACATTAGCATGAGTARGCTGAATAATTTTAAATGTTAACACAGGTTATGTTTTAGTGCACTCTAAAGCAGCAGCATCAAATGTTAGGACTAGTCAAATTTATAACCAGATTGTGGATAAGGTGCWTTTACTGGAAGTGACTGCACTAGTGCTCTCACTGCAGACGAACTGGTGTGTGTTCCTTGGTGCACATTAGTTTCCACCCTCTGCACTGCATCCTTCGGCCTGCCTCATCTGCCTAATGCTTGCCTKYATTCTCTGGTAAATTATTCACCAGRTCCCATCAGCGGYGTGAGGATTTTCAATACGTAGAATCAATGCTTTTGGTCGACATATTAGAACATACGTGGCAACAAACCTATGATGCCCAAATACAAGTACTTATACAATGTTAACCAGGATCGCAGGAGATTTAAAAAAAAGTGTGTTTTGACCTGCAAGAASTAAAAATAAACTTGCTGAAAGGTATTTTAATCAAACGCTAGCAAACATTTCGTTTTGCTTTTCAGGTGAAGGTGGGCAAAGCCGTCATCAGCTGTCCAAACTGGACATGTCACGGGACCCTGGAGGAGGGGTTGGTGGTTTCAAATCTGACCAGCGAGGAGGTGGCAAAGTACCGCTACTTTGTGGAGCTAAGCCAGTTGGATGCCAGCACCAAGCCCTGCCCCCAGTGCAACCACTTCACCTCCCTGAAGACGCACAACCCRAACCGCTCCGAGCACAAGTACAAGGTGAGATCGCACTCGTCCACTGGCGGCTGCCGTCGTGTGATGTAGCAAAGTTCTGATTTGTCGCAAGGTTGTTAWTATTGCCACATTTAAGCATGATCTACGATGGACATGCAGACTGTAATTTTTTAAAATAATACAGCTAGTCTAGCTACTTKCTTTTAAAAAAGTAGTTATCTTTAGCGCCACCTTAAATGGTCTCATATTGGCATAAAAGCCCGGTGTACTTTATAGCTAGCTAACCAGGCAGCCACAATAGATAAAASGCTAGCTAATTAGTTTGATGTTTCTGTAACCGGTGTCAGCTGGTAGTTTGTATATCACTAGCTGTGTTTCCATTSACCATGGAAATGCGCAAATTAGAATTTCGAAAACAAATTTGCTYAATGGAAACACGTCAATTTCGAAAAAATTYACGTTTTTTGACAAAATGTTTTTGCGCTAGGATGAGGTGGTATTTTGGCCGTATCGAAATTGWTGTATTTCGCAAAACTGCAATGGAAACACTTTTTTCGCATCACGGGAGTCACGTGATCAAGAACCGACTGTTTCTACTGGCCAAAAAGACAATGAAGAAGAAAACAGGAAKTTGAACTAGTAGTAAAACCACCAAAGTAGTAAAAGAAAGTATTAAACTCACCGACTACATTTTCCCAAAAACGCAGCATACGTAGCYGCTCCCAAGTATAARGGGCTTTTCGCTGGAAAGCCTCGATAAGACGCCAGCATCTCCTCTGATGGCTGATGATATGCGCTAGTGTCGTGGTAGCAACATGCTACRTGTTTACATCCATTGCTGCCATGTTTGTAATGACTTATCACGAGAACAWACGTTTTCACGCGTGACTTTAAWAGCTTTTCTTACTTAATGGAAACACCGCAATTGCGAAACTGTGTTTTTCGACATTAACAGAATATCGACAAAGTTTTGCGCACATTTGCGATGGAAACGCAGMTACTGATGATTCAAATTGTTTCCTGGAGCTTCTGGTGCATTTAATACATGTAGCCATTTCTACAGGAGGCCCATGGTGTAGAACTTGAGGCTTGAGTTTTTCTTGACAACAGTGTTAAACTTCTTGTTTGAGAAAAATAAAAAGATCGACCGTTTTCTGAGTATAAAATGAAAATAGAATAGCCATGTATTTTTATTTACTTTTCAATATCGGTTTTAAACAAATGACCAAAAGGTACACGGATTGGATTGAACAGCTTATTTTATATGACATGCTTTGTCTGGGAAGTAAAAAGTTTTATTTTTGTTTGTTTATTTATTTTTTTACACTCTTGTAAAAAAAAGGATGGTCATTTTGACTAAACTTAACAAAGTTTACCTCTAATTTCAAAACTATATACAGCGGGTAAAGTAAGTATTGAACACGTCAACATTTTTCTCAGTAAATATATTACTAGAGGTGCTAATGACATGAAATTTTCACCAGATGTCGGT